CCCCAAAACCCCAAAACCCCAAAACCCCAAAACCCCAAAACCCCAAAACCCCAAATTATCTGAAAATTATTGAAATATTAAAAATCAGAGTAAGATTCGCTACCACTTTCCCAAGGGCCAACTTCTTTAAAATCTAAAGTCTCTTTGTCCTTCAACTTCTTCTTACTGATCTGTTGCTTTTTGATAATTGAGGAACCTCCCTTCAAAGCATTAGGATGGTTTATAGCAAACTGTTTTGGCATGGAATGTCTTTTGTCCCTCAATCAATTATTTCTCAACTCTGGCCTTAAAGATCAGATCTTCTTTAAAGCTGGGATTTTATGAATTTTATTTCATCAATTCACTTTTCTTTTGACTAGGTCTTTGATGTTTCCTAAAATTTACCAAAAAAGCTAACCCAAATATCTTCTCCTCCCTTATTTTTATACTCTTAACTGATGAGTTAATGACTAAAGGACACTGCCTTGAGCTTTCTGTCCTGATAGAATCTAGAGTTTAGATGAAAATACTTTTATTCAGTTTATTTAGCTAATCCCTTAAGAGCACCTAGCTCCATTTTGTAGTCTTCAATATTCTTTACTGAAGTTCTCTTCACATTTGGTAGAATATTTGCGACTGAACTTATGCTAGTAGACTGCCTCAAACTTGGAGTCTTATATTTCCTAACCTGATAGTTCAAGGATGTATGAGCTTACTTGGATAGGTGGGATTTCAGAGTTCCGGTCAGGAGCTCCTTCAAACACTTTTTGTACTTCTTGTGCAACATCAGCTCTATTATCTGGCTTCTTCATAATATTTCTGTCTTTATTTATATATTCATCCTTTAGCACCCCCTGTATTTGGGAATTGAGACAGTTAAGGTTGGAAGTTTCATCAAATTATGATCTTTCATAATAATAATTTTGCTAAATTCGATGAAATCATCTAGTTTTTCCTTGCGTAAAGATTAAAACTGTTTATGCATTATAGTCATTTTTTCATTATGCCTAAAGTTCTTCTAGACTATACTAAACCATGTCTGGGCAGTAAATCTTTTAAAAGTGAGTAAAGATAAGGAAAAGTGACAATTCAGTATATTCCCAAATACTTACTTTTCCAAAACTGAATAGATTCGTGCTAGCTTTTCTCTGATTTTCTACTCTGGATCTCTCTTGCTTAAAAATAGTCTTAATATCTTTTCTTGCTCTGGACATAATTTAACATCCCAAGATTACCAAGTGTACAAGGGTATTCTGCTATCATGCCTTTCATGCTGGTTAAGCCCGATAGTTCTAATATTGATTCACATATTCTTAACGGTCACCTAACAAAACTGTACCTTATTTATTAAAGTGTTTGGCGTTAATATTCGCTAATTCTTAGGAAGAGAGTTACCTTGAATGTTGTTTCGTTCAAAGAAGGACTGAACACTTTCAATTGTGTATGATTCCATTATCCAAAATTATCTAAATATTTATAGTAAATACCAACTTTATGATATTGTGCTGGGGTTTTGGGGTTTTGGGGTTTTGGGGTTTTGGGGTTTTGGGGTTTTGGGGTTTTGGGG